AAGGCAGTTGCCGGCCGTGCGAGGGCCCACTGGCCCGTAGCGACGCAGCTCTTGGCTGCCGCAGCGCAGCAAGGTGTGCTCGCTTTGAGGATTTTACACCCAAAAGAATATCGGCCAGCAGCATGCAGCCTCCTGCTTCGACCCGGTGTTGAGTGTAGTCCGGGTTTTACACGGGTTCATGGATGTCAAGGCCCATCCGTGGGTTTGAGGGGCAGGTCAAGGACATAGGGGCAGGCGCTCAGGGTTCGCTTTCAGGGCCCTGCAGGCATCGGCGAAAACCAAATTGCGCGGAGCAGCGTGATGGCATCCCATGAGGCCACCCCGACTTGCGAGCCATCGGATCCCACGTCAGATACGCACGCACTGTACACGCAGGCACGCGCTTAAACCTGCAATAAGCAGGGTAACATCAAGGGTAGCACAATCCCCCCCCCCCCCAACCAACCTTACAAGCCAATTGCGTGCCGGAGGCAGCCAGCCGTTGGGAGTCTGGGCTGCTTCTGCTGGCGTCTTGCCAGCCTGGCCTTTCTCTCTCGGATTGGGCCCATTTGTTGGGGATTGTAGGGGTTCAGAGCGTAAGAGGGGCCCAACGAATGGTTAAAACTCCGGGACGTGGTGCCTTTGCAACAAGTTGTGGGAAGCAGCCTACTTTACCATGCAGACATCGAGGAAAGCTCGGGGGGTCTCTGCGCATGGCGGAACCCGTTGGTGCCTCAATCCTAAATCCTAAGCCCCGATCTCGAATCGCGCGAGGAAGGTGCTCGGAGGTCGAATCTGGAGCCTGGCATTGTGGAATTCAGCAGCGCCTTGTCTCGACTTGTGAATATACAGGGCTGGTGGAGTGTGCGGTTTCTTCTTGGGTTTCAGGGTGACAGGGTCTGGGATTTGCGGTTTGTAGGTCCAGATAAACTTTCGACTTTGATGTGGCCTCTTTGTTCCGGGCCTAGCTTCGCGTAAACTTCCCAGGCTCGAAGCACCTGAAGCCCTTGACCAGCCGAAAGCGTTCCCTATCACCGCTACTGCTCACCTAGGTGACTATTTCTTGACACACATGCCATACGTCTTCCCCCTTGAGCCACAGTTGAAAAGAAAAGGCTGAGTGACACGTCCCACAACAGATCCTCCGTTCTTCAAGCCAAGTTCTCGTTGGATGCTGTTGCAGGCGGTGTCAGCGCATCTTCAAGAAGCTGGCCGTTGGCGGTCGAGGTGCTGCAGCAGGCGCCTGGGAAACGCTGTAACCGGCCCAAGCGGTTGTTACAGCAACTCTGTTTCAGAAGCCTGTTTTTCAGGAACTTGATCTAGATCCTGCTTGAGAAATTTTTGTTCATATAACACCCAAGAGGATATTAAACGTGCTATGTTTACTGAGGTTCTAAGGGGAGTACAGTGATGGATTGCAGAGGAGACTCTGCATCTCCAAGTGGCCAGGCGAGAGCCTGCGGGATTGAGCCGGATGCAGTCGTCCACAATGCTGCGGCAGCCTTAAGAGTGCTTCTACTAAGAGTGACGAGGTTTGTCCGGGTTTGGTGTTGGTTCGCTTTTGAAGCTTCAAAGCGTTGTTTGGAGCTCCTCTCCTTTTGTGGGTAGAACCTCGAGCCAGCTGTTTCCAAGTATTGGGTTCGCGCAAGCCTTGCGCAACTGCAATGGCACATTCTGACGCCACCGCACAAAATGCACAAAAGCCCACAAAAGCCAACTCCATAAGGTCATCACTGCTTTCGGGCGAGGCCTGTGCTGGGCCCTCGCTTTGGAGACGCTGGAGGAGGCGAGCGGAGCTTGGAGTTTGGAGAGCATGTTTGCGGGAGGCGGAGCACGGAAAGACAGGGCAAGAGGAGCTTTCGTCGAAGACCTTCCCTCCCCAAACAGCACCTCTGCGCAGGCGTGTGTCCGCGGTGCGCGCAGCGTCCGCAGCTTTCGGGCAGCCTTGGCCGGGCCCCACACACTCTGAAGCGTTTGGAAGCCTTACACAACGCTGCGCGTGCCCCTTCTTGTATAGGATCGCTACAAAAAGTTGCATGTCAATCCCGAATGCGAACCCAGAAACCCTGCTACCCATTCTGCAGTACTATAGCCCTTCGTCGAACCCTGCAACTCCAAGACCTCAAGCCAAGCCCCTAAGCCAAAACATCCTTGTGCACTAAATCACACTAAATCCGAAAGCTCAATAGCCTAAAGCCCACAAAGGTAGAAAGCCAAAATCCCCGAAGGCCCTATAACCCTACTACTTGGTGCATGGTACTTTGTAGCTGTACTTATATCCCATGTACAAGCCCCTCAAGTGCCCCAACATGGTCATCATTGTGCCATAAGTTCGGTTCGTTAAAAAAAGTACCTTGAACCTCCAAGTAGAGCCCTAAGACTCCTAAGGCCCCCAACAGCCTGGAGCCCTAGAGTTTCTTTTTTCCCCCCAGAAGCCCCAAAAACCCTAAGAAGCCCCAACGGCGTGTCGGAGGCGGCACTTGGTTCGGCGGGCCGCTGGGAGGAGGCCATGAGGCCCCGGGGGCCGCGGGGTTTTGGGGCCGCGGGGTTTTGGGGCGGCTAAGGGGGATCTCAAAGGGCTGTTTTTTGGGGTTTTCAGGGTTTGCCCTGAAAGCCCCCCCTTCAACCTTCAAGAGCCCCCTTTCGGAAGCAGCCAGGTTGCTGGGCTCCATGCTGGGGCGGCCGGACATGCCGGCGCCGGACCTGGAGTGCTACAACGAGGCTCGCTTCTCCACGGATGGGACTAAGGAGGTTCCCCTTAGGGTTGGGGTTTAGGGTTTTAGGGTGCAGGGTTTCGGGTTTATAAGGCGCTCAGCCCTCTTGAGTCTTTGTGGGCCCTTGCCGCCGGCTTTGACATCGAAGCAGGGTGTGGTCGGAGTTGACTTTTTTGCCGGCGGTACCCCCCCCGACTCGCTCTCTCATGTGGCGCGTGTAGTCTCCGCGCGTATTACCAGCGAGGTGTTGGGATCATTTGGCTCGCGGGCTTGCTTTGCTGTGGAGCGCTGTCTGTGAGGGGCCTTGCCGGTTCAGATTGGGAAGGTTGAAGGGCAAAACGCTCTGCAACAACTCCGATCCGTGGTGTGCCCCCAGGTGTTGCTAGCGTGCGGCGGCCTTAGCCGAACCGCAAAGAAAGCCTTCTGAGCAGGTTTCAGGCTTGAGGGTTCAAATCCCGGGAACCCGAACTAAAACCCTTAAGCCCTCAGAGCTTTTTTAACCCTTCAACCTTCGAATCATTCAACTCTGAAGTTCACGCCCTCCCCTAGACCCCCCCTAAGCCCTGAATCCTCAACTCTGAACTCCCCAAACTCCCTAATTAAGCCCAGGTACTCTGAAGCTTCGGCTTGAGGGCGATGAGGGTTTCGGGTGCCTTGAATCCCATGCTTGAGGAACAATGCGGACATGAGTTTGGGGTTTGAGAGAGCTAGGGGCGTTGAGGATTTAGGAGCTTAGGGTTGGTGTTTTGGGGAATTTTTTAGGGTTCAGGGAGTTTATGGTCTGTTTAGCCCCCGCACAGGCCCAGGACCCATAAACACCCATAACCCGACAACCCTTCTTTTTCCGTAGGCCAAGGTGGAGCCACTCTTGGGGGCGGGGTTGCCCACACCCAAAAACCTGCACCCTAAATCTCAGAACCCACAAGACCTAAAACCCTAAACCCTGAAACCCTAAAACCCTAAACCCTGCAAACCCTCCCCCGCTTCCCCCCTTCAAGGCGCGGGCGCGGGTGCCTGGGAGGTTTGTGCTGCAGCGCTGCAGGCGCGGACGATTCGTTGAGTTTCGATTCTTTGCGAGGGCGTTTTTAGTTAGGGTAGGAAATGAGGCCTTCCGGATTTGTCGGGCCTTTCGTGGCTTTAGTCGGGCTTGCTACAGGGTGGTTGAGAGTTTTTTTGCAGATTGAGTGCTAGTTTTTCGGTTTGGCTTTGCTTAGCTTGTCGTGTTCGGGTACCCTCCGAACCCTCAAGCCCCAAACTCCTCAAACCCCTAATCCGCCTATAGGGGGGTCAAGCGTCACATCACCCCTTCTAAGGGTAGCTACATGGACCCTTATTATGGTCCCTTGCCTCTCTTGAAGGGTTCTGATGTCTGGGCCCTTTAATTTGCATAGGGCATATAAGGGATAAAGAAGGGGTACCCTTTTAAGAGCCCACACATGCTGAGGGACCATGTCACTTCCCTTATAGACTGTGGGCCGCCTCAGGTGATGCGCGCGAGCAGGCCGGGTGGGCTTTCCGGGCCTGAGCGGTTTGGAGTTTGGGGCTCGAGGCCCCGCCATCCTCCCGTTGCAAGCAGGCTCGACTTGCCCTAAACCCGAAACCCTAAACCTTAAACCCTTATAAACCCTAAACCCTAAACCCTAGACCCTAGACTCCAGACCCTAGACCCTAGACCCTAAACCCTTCCCCTTAGACTCTTAACCCTCTCTGAACCCTCTGAACCCTCTGAACCCTCTGAAACAGCCACGACACCTACGGCTCCACCCGGCAGGTGCCCGCCGGATCTTCGCGCTTACGGCTGCAGTGCGCGGGCCTGCGCTGGCCCCGGAGCTGGTGAGTTTGCATCTGAGTTTGAGGTCGAGGGTTAGGGTTTAGGAGGGTTTAGGTTTAGGGTTCAGGGTTTAGGGTTTAGGCCGCGGGATGATTTGGGACGGGCTTCCAGCGTTGTAGAGTGGTTTCTGGTCGCGAACTTGTCAAGTTTTCACGGCGTGCATGGCTTGCCGGGCTCCGTTTTATGTTTTAAATGCTACATCTCGGCAGCTTGAGCGATGTGAGACATTAGTTCGGAGAGATCTCATATCATGGCTTTCCAGGCGTCCTTGGGGGTCGACATTGGGAAGTTCGAAGGGTTTTGGTGAACAGGTAGACTGTTTTGAAGTTTGAACTGAAGATGCAAATGTTGTGGAAATCTGGGACTCTCGGCCCGTCTATGTCCTCTTCCAGCCTCGCCGGCGTGCAACGACGCGTCTCGACGCTGTTCTTTGGCTCAAGGGACGGGGGCTACCCCGCCCCCCTTAAGCCACCGCCATGCCACCTCACATGGCCGCGGGCTTGGTTTGGATGTTTTCATTTGCTTTGGATGCAGCAACCGCTCACCATTCTCATACAACTGCCTGCCGATCCTCTTCCAGGAGGTGTCTCCATATCTCTGGCAGCTTCGAGGCGGATGGCAGGGGCTTGGGGTTGCGGATCGGTGTTTCAATGAAAGATTATTAGCATCAAGGGACAGGGAATAAAGATGCATGTGCGAAGCTTTCGCGAAGGTCAAGTGCATGCAACCTGTCCAGGGCAGATCGCTCTCCTCATTTCCTTCAAGGTTCGTCGGGGTTTCTTTGGGTGTTTGGCTTGTCCATCAGAGGCTCGCTGTCTGCATGCGTTCCGGTACTGCTGTGACCTGGCGCAGAAGAGGGTCTCGGGCTTTTGGGGAGCTCTTGCTTGTAGACCCCAAAAGCGACCACAATTTAGTGAACTGCCCTTTAGGTTCAGATACGATTGTGGCATCATTAAAGTCCATTGGTTAGACAACACCGGCACAGACCCAAAAATCCGGAAATGGCTGAATTTAGCTGTACAGTTGGGTTTGTGAATGGGCTATTCATGATGAGATGTTCAAGCTTCTGTTAACAAACGTTAGCTGTGGAGGTGAAGAGTTGTGGGTTGGGGGTTTTGAGGCTGGGGGTTCTACGCTTAGGGAAAGGAGTTGATCAAATATTCAACCACGCCGACGCGGACACATGAGGCAAAAGCAAGGGGGGGGCTGCATGCGGGCAAGGGCTGCCAACAAAGCAATTCATGGGCGGCACCTCGGCAGATAAACCCACACAGTTTAGTAGAGCAGAACCACAAAACCTAACCATCCCCCCCCCCCCCCACACCCCCTCCGAACGCGTCAATCCTTCAAGGAAGTAAACCCCAAAGCCTGCTCAGCCTGCAACTCAGGTTTATATCTTCCGTCGAGGTGGGGCACAGGGGGAACTTTCGGAGCTTAAGGGGGGAAGACCTGTCGGAGCTTAAGGGTGTCAGGGTTTTGGGCTTCGGGGTTTCAGCGCTTTGTGCCTTGAAAAGTTAAAGCTGTTCAAGTGTTGGTGTGCAGCATTCAGGGTCAGGGGGGCGGAGATGGGCTTAGTAAGAAAAATTCAAGGCTTCGATGAAAGTGATTCAAACCAAAGACAAAGCATCCGCGAACAATGGGCCGAAAGCGTAAGCCAAAAAAAGACACGAATCTTGCGCCAGGGGACTGAGGTGCGAGCTGCCACCGGCATCGAGGCGGTTAGAAGGGTTCTGGGAAAGTGGTGTTTAGGGGGGACGCATGGGGCGTGTGTTCCTGCATCTTAGTGATGACTTTTGCGCCGGGACCCCTTCTCGCCTTGTCCTCCTTGAGGGTTTCTCAAGTGTCTGAGAGTGGAGGGGTCAAAGTCTTCGGCCGAAGGCCTTCGTAACGCATCCTCAGAGGTCCTTACGTTCTCGACCCGGGGTCGAATCCTTGAACATAACAGTCTACAACTACTTGCCTAGAAAGCTATTTGAACCCCCCTAAGCTCTATCAGAAGCCTTAGCAAGACAAGAGGAAGGAGTTGCCAAGTTCCTTCGCTCCCAATGATGGGCCCCCTGGGTTGTTCAGGGCATTCGGCTCCTGTTTTGGCTTGGAATCGTTCTTCTGGCGGGCCCTGGTAGTGAGTTTCGCCCTGGTGCGTTCTACTTGCTCCACTCACGGATCCCTCACCAATCCCTCAGACCAGCAGAGTGCCACTCCGGGTTCAGGAGAGTCCAAGATGGCTTTTGGAGAGAGTGGAATCTTAAGAGCGTTTGAACCGTTGAGCTGGGTGCAGTGAGCATACTGTGCAAGATGTACATGGCCCTCTGCACGGAGCCCTTCGGGCAGGTCGTGAACGGCCTGGAGATTCATGCCGGTCATGCCGCGCATCACATGACCGACCCTCGCCACATTGAGCCATCAAGAGATTCTGCAGTATTTTGTCGGCCCCTCAACCCCCGAATCACCGAACACCCCTCTAAGACCCTCAAACCAAGGCACTCCCGAAGCGAAAGCCCTGGAGCCGCTCAAGCCCCCCAAAACTTCTCAGCCCGAGCAAGCCCTCTGCTGAAGCCCGGAGATCCGAATTGGCCCAAGCGGCTTCAGAAGGGGGGTTAGGGTTTTCGGGTTCGGGGATGTAGGCTTTGACTCTGAGCGTTCAGAAAAAGCCTGAAAGCTGCCACCAGAGCGCTAGCGCCCAAACTGAGATCTTCCAAGCCCTCAGCCAAATACCCCCAAGCCCGAAATCAGAACTTGACCGTTCCTGGGTGGATCGTTTCGGCATCTGGTGGGGTTGCACTCATCAGGGTGATGGACTTGTTTTTCTTTGACAGGAGCAGAGATCAAGGTTTAGAGTGGGCCCCTAGTATGGGCCCCCCAATATGGGTTAATGATTTCAGGATGAGGGGAGACGACGGGAACACGTAAAGGCATAACCCCAAACCCAAAACCCTTGAAGATATAATATGTGGGGCGCACATTTGAAATACCCTGCAAAAACCCTAAACGGAGGCCCTGACTCACCGCCTCCGACGGGGTGCCAGCCGCCATGGGGCGAGCCGAGCAGCACTTTCGGTGCCCTTGCTTTCCAGTTCTTGGGTTTAATGGATTTCCAATGGGTTTCCAGGGTTCAGGGAGTGTTCAGGGTTTAGGGTTTAGTATCTAGCTTGGTTGTGGGTTTTCGGGTTGAGTACGTACTATGCCTAGAGATGTTTGTCGATGTTTGGACACCTTTTAAGGTCTTCCTTGTTCCCCTGCCCTAGGCTGGGCCGCTGTTCAGGAACTTTCAGAATAAGTTTTTTCCATAATTTGGGTACGCCGCACAAAAGATGAGGTCCTTACTGTGGGACTCTGAGCTTTGTTGGGGACGTGAATTCTAACATCCCGGAAGCGCAGCCCTCCGCACACTGAGGTGGATGCCTCCGGCTCCACTTCAGGCTACCAGCTCACCACGCCGCTGGAGGACGCCCGGACTTCGGGCCCTTTGGGCTCTTAGGGCTCTTAAAGGGATCTTAGGGCTCTTCGAGCTCTTAGGGCCTCTAGGACTTTAACCCGACATCCCAAAGGGGTTGGGGTCCCCAGGTTTTGGTCTTGCGGCTTCTTGTTGGCGCTTTCTAGTCACTCGTCTTAGGGAGGTGCCTGATGTTGCCTGTTCAGGGTTTAGGGTTTGGGGTTGCCAGAAGAGGTACCTACAACGAACACCCTTTCTTTTCCATGGTGTGTAGCTTGGGCAGCCCTAAAACCCCAAACCCCAAACCCCAAACCCCAAATCCTAAACCCCAAACCCAAAACCCCAAAACCCCAAAACCCCAAACCCCAAACCCCAAACCCCAAACCCCAAATCCTAAACCCCAAACCCCCAAACCCTAAACCCCGAAGCCAGGACATGTCCTCGGAGTACACGGGCATCATCGGCGTGGGAACTGCCTCGGACGGCGGGGCGGAGTTCGAGGCAGTCGCGGGAGCGACCGGAAACTCTCGCCGGTTCAGGGGTTAGGGTGTAGGGTTTTGGGTTTAGGGCTTGATGGTTAGGGTTAGGGTTTAAGTCAGGGCTCAGGGATGTTTCGGGCAAGCTTAGGGTTCAGGGTTGTCTAGCATTGAGGGTTGGGGGCAAAAGAAGGGGCAGGTGAAGCTTCAACACGTAATGCCGACGTCCGACAGCTCTCAGTCCCGTGAGGCGAGAGGTTTCAGTTTCAAGGGAGATTACAGAGGGTTTAGGGTTTGTGCTTGCACCCTACAGCGTTTAGGGACCAAAAAGCCTACCCTAAACACCACACGCATCCACACGCTACCCTAGATTTCGAGGGAGCTTGGCTTTCGTGACCTCTGCAGTGCAGGCTCGCGTTGTGTTTGACACCGGGAGCACGAACCTCTGGGTGGCATCGGTTCTTTGCAAGGACGGGGTGGGCTGGGGACAGCTTTGCCCTTTAGGGGTTTAGGGGGCCTTTAGGGTATGTAGGCGCTGGACCGTTGGGCCCTACTGCAGAACCCTAAAGGGTGAATGGCTTAGTGTTCGATCGTAAACGCTTGTGCGAAGACGCGGGAGAGCATCCAACACGTGAAGCCGAAACCACCGAGGGTGTGGCCCTGTTTTACAGCTGGCCTTGCCATCGAAGCCGCACTAGACGATGGGGCCGGCCAGGTAGGTGTGTCAGCGAAAGAACCCGACCACCGCGGCAAAGCTGGCGGGGCCCTCAAATCCCCAGCCGCCAAAACCCTCAAGCCCATCAGCCCGAGGATTCGCCCTGCGACCGCGAGGGCTCGGAGAAGTTCTACGACCCAGTTCCCTGGGCGCAATGTAGAGGGCCTGCGTGGGGCTTTAGGGCTTTGGGGTTGGGAGATGCTTGGCTCCATCAGCTAGTTTTTCCAGCGTACCTTCGGGTCACCTGTCAAGGCTTGTCCCCATTTGCAGGGGCTTCCTCGTGAACATTGAAGTTGCAAGGAGCGTTATCTAGCTGGCCAGGTTTTAGGTGCTGTGAAGCAGCTTTTTAAAAACGCAGAGGTACCTAATTAGCACACTAATGCATGTTGTGGTTACCCTACGCCTACCCTATAATGCAATCCCACCGGTTCAGATATGCATTTCCAGCTTGAAGGTGTTTGTTCGAATCGTATTTGTCAGGGCTTCTGTCAGAAACTGTGCATGAGCAATGCATCGGGGGCGTGGAAGATCTCAGGGCAGGGCTTCTGCCAAGCAGTTGCAACAAACGTGAAATCAATCCGATCGGTGGTATTCTTTTGTTTGAGGGCCAATCCTTCACCACTCCCCCAAGCACCCTCTTGAAACAGTAAGCCCTAAGTTCCATGTAGCTCTGCTAGGGTTTCTTAGGGCTGGTCTGCATGTCTCTTTGTCGTCCAGTTGACTTATAAGTTTTACACCGGCCCAGGAAAAGTCGTCGACTTCTGAAGCTTTCCTCGAAGACGGCATGGACCGGCCTGGTTTGGGGTTTCGGGGCTCGGATGTTTGAGCAGGAAAATCGCTCATCATGCGTACTTGGGGTGCTAGAGCAATGAATGGATCGCTTCCAGAAATAGACGCCAAGTCCGCAACAGTGGCTTTTCTTCATACTGGATCAACCCAACGCCGTCTTCCTTCCAGAAAGGTACTTTGGTTCGTTCGTCTAGGAGACGTGGTGGATCCACCATCGCTTGTAGTTAAAAATCATCCGTTCCTTGTGGGGCTAGGACATGAGCAGAAACATACTTCAGGCAAACTTGACAGCCGGGCCAATCCATTGAATCTGCTTGCTTTCGGCTTGCAAGTACTTGTGCGGAGACCTGAAAAGGACTGTGGCAGGAAGAATCAATCTTTGGCCATTCTGTTATTGATGGAAGCTGAAATGTGGCGCCGAATGTTTGTGGCTGTTGCGGAGCAGCTTTTCAGCACCTTGAAGTTGCGTGCTGGCCTGGCAGGAGAGCGACTCAGACATCGACATCATTTTCGGCACGGGAGAGCTCAAGGGCCCCCTGCATGTGGATACCTATCGGGTAGGCCGGAGCTGCTGGAAGGTTTGTGGCCAAGTTGCCTAGTTACTGTGCATGTGGCTGCAGCGTGTCCCTCAGGTCCACCCTAAACCCCGAACCCCAAACCCTAAACCCTAAACCCTAAACCCTAAATCCTAAACCCTAAACCCTAAACCCTAACCTTTGGCTGCCAGGCCCCATGGCCGTGGAGAAGCAGCCCTTCGCCATGATCCGCGAGATGACAGGTGCCCTGGCATGGGGGGGCACTTTTGGGGTTTAGGATTTAGGGTTTGGAGTTTGGGGTTTGGGGTTTAGGGTTTAGGGCTACTTTGGGGTTTAGGGTTTAGGGTTTGGAGTTTGGGGTTTGGGGTTTAGGGTTTAGGGCTACTTTGGGGGGGAGGTTTAGGGTTTGGAGTTTGGGGTTTGGGTACTGTGGGGGGAGGTTTAGGGGAGGCCTAGGGCCTCAGGGTGTCAGGGGGCAAGGGTTTGAGGTTTAGAGTCTAGGGTTTAGGGTTTGGGGTTTGGGGTTTAGGGTTTCGGGTTTAGGGTTTAGGGCTACTGCGAAGTTTCCGAGGTGATGTTTTCTCCTCCTTCCCCTTCGAGGGCATTCTGGGCCTGGCCTTTCCTTCCCTCTCCTTTGGCGGCATCGAGCCCTTTTTCGAGAAGCCTGCCTGCAATCCCGGGTTTAGGGTTTAGGGTTTGGGGTTTAGAGTTAGGGTTTTGGGTTCAGGGTTTGGGAGTTAGGGTTTGGGGTTTCTGGGTTTTAGGGATTCGCTCAGCTGCGCAGCTTGAGACGCTCACGGGATGCTAAAGCTGGATGTCGGAGCCTCCCACACGCACACCGACAAGAGGCCCGGGGCCTCAAATGTCGTAGAATCCTGCTCCCCTCCCCCTCCCCCCCCCAAAAAAAAGAAGAAGAAATCAACACGAAGCCCAATTGCTTGCAAAGCTAAACCTAAACCAATTTTTTATGGAAGCCCCCCAGCCCCAAGTTCCTCTGAGGGAACCCGTGTCTTTTTTTGTGTTGTTGCGGCCCGCGGCGGCAGCACAAAAAAGCGCCCCGCATCAACAGCAGAAAAAAGCCCCCCCCCCCCCCGGGCAAAACAAACACGGGCCCGTCAGTGTGTGAGTGAACGCGCCGGGGCCCCGCAGCAGCAGCAACAGAAAAAAGCCCCGCAGCAAAAAAAAAGTTCCCCCCCCACGGCAAAGCAAACACGTGCGACGCAGCAGCAGCAGCAAAAAACATCAACGCGCCCCGCAACAGCAACAAAACAACAAATAGCGTGCCCCGCAGCAACGGCCAAAACGCGCGCCCTGCAGCAACAGCAAAAACAAAAACTGCTATGGCCAATGAGCAAGTGAACGCGCCAGCGTAGGGCATCAACGGCAACAAACACAACGTGGCGACAGCAACAAAGAAAGAGGTTCCCCTGCATTCGGCTGCAGATTTTAGGTTTAGGGTTGTACACCCGCGAACCTCCCCCGCTTCTTTATGCAGTGCAAGCTTGCTTTATACATACACGAACATAGATAGATAGATAGATATATATATATATATATATATGCTACCCCCCCCCCCCCCCATGCGCCCACGCTTCAGCATGGTTTCCAGACAAAAACACTATGTTCCGCCACGTGCGGTGGTTTTTAAAGGGGGGAGGGACTCCCATAAAACTCCAGCAGAAGTGACCTGAACAATTTGCTCGAGATTGTGGATTGCATGCTATGAATTTAAATAGAAATCCTATGCATGTGAATAGCGTTCCTATCAAATTTAATTGGGTTCATAGGATTCATCTTGTTTCAATAGGAATCTTATAAAAATGAAAAGGAAACCCATTAATTGGAATGAGAACCCTTAATTCTATCAAATTCTATGGGAACCCTATTCAAATGACAGAATAAAATTGGTAGAAATCATATTACATTTGTAGGAGCCTTATTAAAATAATTAGGCAAACCATGGAAATGTATTGGAATCTTATACACAGAACAACAGGAATCCTCTCTTTCAATCCATAGGAACCCTGGAACAAGTAGAACCCAATTCTACTTGATAGCAATCCTACTAAACTGAAGAGGGCCCCTATTAAAATTGATAGGAACCAATGGGCTAAATAATAGGAATTCTACTAAAATTAATATGAGCCTAAACCAATCGGTATCCCTTTCAAACGAATGCGATCCATTAAAATAAATACGAATCCCATTAACATGAAGAAGCGTCTGATTAAAATCGACATGAATTTTATTACATTAGTAGGAGCCTTATTAAAAGAATTAGGAACCCTATGAAGCTTTATTGGAATCCTATAAAAACAAATAGGAATCCTCTATTGACTTCATAGGAATCCTGCCAATATTTTTCGGAACCGATAAAAGTTAATAGGAAGCCTATTAAAATGAATAGGAACCCTTACCAAATTGAAAAGAACCGGTTATAATTCATAGGAATCCTGTTACAATGAGAAGGAATCTTGCTAGTGCTACTGTGCTGTTCCCACGTGGACGTGTTCATCCTTGAAGTGGCCCGCGTGGTAGTGTTGATCTTTCAAGTGGCCCGTTATGCGTGCTACTGTGCTGTTCCCACATGGTCGCGTTCATCTTTGAAGTGGCCCGCATGGTCTTGTTCATCTTTCAAGTGGCCCGTTATGCGCGCTACTGTGCTGTTCCCACATGGTCGTGTTCATCTTTGAAGTGCCCCGCATGGTCGTGTTCATCTTTCAAGTGGCCCGTTATGCGTGCTACTGTGCTGTTCCCCATGGTCGTGTTCATCTTTTCAAGTGGCCCCCTATCATCTCTTGAGTCTCAACTATGTTCCTGTCGCGCCAACTGTTGGCTCGAAGTCCAGGGCTTTCATAAGACCCTCTACTACCTCCGCCTCTACACTCAACCCTAAACCCCAAACCATAAGCCCCAAGCCCTATAGAACCCTAAACCCTAAACCCCAAACCCTGAAGGGATGCACACATGAGGCTTAGGGCTCAGGGCTAAGGTGTGCAAGGATCCGGGTTTTAGAGTTTAGCGTTGAGGCTGAAGAAGAATCCCTCGCAATCCACCCCCAAGAAACCCGCCCCAAGAAACCTCTAATAATTACGCCCAACTGTCTCAAGAAGCCCCCCCACCCCCACCCAAGAAAAACCCAAGGAACCCCTTAAGATTCCTCCAACTCGTCCCTGCTCCGCAAGGTCCATCATGCGGAGCCCTTCTACCTCCCCGTCAGGGGAGCCCAGACATCCCAAGGATATACACTAAACCCTAAACCCTCGATATAGGGTGCAGCAGACTGTTGAAAGAGTAGGATTTTCTTGTCTTAACGAGCATGCCGCGGTTCTTGACGGGGAGCGTCCTGAGCGTCCTAAAGAGGCTGGATTTAGGGCGAGGGTCTGGTATAGCAGGCACATCATGGATCCAGGGTTAGGGCTGTGTGTTTAGGGTTTTTGCGTTTCGGGGTTTCGCAGTTCATGGGCTCAGGCAACTGAGTACGAAGCTTATGAATCAATTCGGCAACAGAACTTCGGGCACTTAAAGCCCTATAACTTATAACCTACATACTAAGATTCCAGAGCCGTCAAGTACTGGAGCATCCTAAGCCCTAAGCCGATGCCCGAGATGGTTTCGCGGGTTGGCCTTGTTAGAAGCTGTCGATCCCTAAGATTTCAGAGAAATGCTGGCAACCTAAATACGTTATGGGTTTGTTGTATGTTTCTTCTTCTTTTCTTCGCTTCTTTATTTCTTCTTTCTTTCTTCATGAACGACCGGCTCAGAAAGACTTCCCCCTCATACTAACAGTCCTGAATCGGGTTTATAGTGCCCTCCCCCCCCCGTTTAAGGACTAACCCTCCAATAGCTCAGTTTAAACCCTATCGGGTTAAAATGAAGGTCCGCCCGCGAGCACAGCTCGTGAGCGCCGCCGAGGCGCACGTTTGGGTTATTTTGGGCTTAGGGCTAGGGCTTAGGGCTTAGGGCTTAGCGATTAGGATGAATAGTG